TACTCCAACCATGGGGGGTGCTGTTGCTCCATCTTCCATGCCGAGGAGCTTTCCTCTGATCAATGTCCCTTTAATGGTGCCTTATATTATCCCCCCTCCTCCCCCCACTAAAAGTGGTACCTATGTTATCTACTTGCATTTCTGCTTTCAACCCGCTATGTAGACAGGTGAGCTGGGCCTAATGGTGGGTGCTCACCCCATCCGGGCCCAAACTGCTGATCTTCTGATTGGCAGGATATTTCTGCAGCACAGCTGTTTAGCCTCCTGTGCTGAGCCCAGTCCAAACAATTAGTTGTCATCTCCCTCCCCTGGTCTTTTCCAGGATAACCACTTTTCCAAATTTACAAAAAAAAAAATGCCAAGAGAAACATGTGAAAGTTTCAGATCAACATAAGCCAAAAATTGAGCAAGTCACACTTTCTCTTTCTTAGTTGAAGAAAAAAAAAAGGCTCTTAAACAAGTCTTGTCAATACAACAATGGCAACACTCAGATATCAAATTACTCATTTTAGTAAATTCATCCAAATTTGTAAATATATGTACAACAGCAAAGACAGATTTGGGGATTGGGGGAAGGGTGCATGTGGGAAAGTGACAAATTCCTTCTTTGCACCCAAGAAGTGGTCATCCTAGAGATAACGTAAACATTTTCATTCCTGGGATATATGGAAATAATAATGGATCTCAAGTAATAGGGTTTTTATTCTGTGGCATTTCCCCTTGACTCTTTCCATCTTCTTTAAGAAGTATTACCTTATCAATCAATCTTCATTACAAACTTTGAGCAGCATTATAGAGAAACAAAGTAATTATTTGTACAAACGAGGAAAGATGGTCAGTTGAAACCATTGCTCTATAATTTCCCCACAATAGAACTAGTGGGGGAAAGTGAAGTTACAGTACCTTTGGCAGTACATCTGTTCTCAGTTGTTGCACTCTGGGATGGATGTAGTTTAATTTGCTCTCTAGGTGGAGGCATGAAATATCCCACTTCATAACAGAGGGCCAGATTAGATGGCCTTCTAACCAGAAACATTTAATCTTCCCGTATCGCTAAGGGAGAAAAGAAGACGGCACACTCTTTTCTGTCTCCCTTGATGCTCTCCTGTTGCAATGTTTATAGTTCAGGGGTTAACACATAGTTTCCTGTGGAAGAGGGGCTAGCAACCAGAGCTGTGAAAATTGAGCCAGGATGTATCCCCAGGGATACAGGATCACACAAGTACAGGACAAACCGTTCAACATGCCAGTGGATATTGGAGCTGAAATTTACATTAAATATAAACTGTGTCAACAAGCTATTTCAGGCTTTTCTCTTCATTCACATCCTTCCTGTTGGTCCAAGCTTCTGGATTGTAACTTTTATGGTAGTTGTGAAAAACATTCACAAATTAGATTTCCAAGCTAAAGGCATTTTTGTAGGCATGCTTTAACAAAGCATGAGGAAAAATTAAGAGATTCCAAGAATAGTGTTTGCTATTTATTTCTGCCAGATAACAGATACAAGGACAGGTGTTCCTAATCAAGTGCCAATCAGATGTGTCGATCTTGTTCCTTTATTTTTTAAAAAGTGAGTAAAATATGAAATGATTATGAAATGTGTAGAGTAGGGCTGTCCAACCACGTAAAAATTTGTTTCTAAACTCGATTCGTTTTTAGGGGGTTTTTTGCGTTTCGTTATTTAAAAGAATTCCGAAATTTTTCTTTTAAAAAGTTTGATATTTACGAAATTTCAGAAATTACGAAACAATTTCGAAACAATAACGAATCGATTCGTTAATGGCGGACGCAATTGCGCAATACGCTAAAAAACCCTCCAAATGGGACAGGGGGAACTTCTGAAGCTTCCCTCTCCCTCTGTTGTTGACTGTTGGTGTGATAATATTTTTTTATCACTGATAAAACAAACAACGACTATAAAACTTGCACCAGACATACGGAAATAATAACGAAATAATAATGAAACAATTTCGAAACAATTATGAAACAATTACGAAACAATTACGAAACGAATTGGAAAAATTCGTTTCGTTTTTTAGTTGCTCCTGAATGGTTCAATATTGCTTCGTTATCAAAAAAACGAATTAATAACGAATTACGAAATTAACGAACGAAACTGCCCAGCCCTAGTGTAGAGTGCTAACTGTCTATTTTAAAAATCATCGCTTTTATATTAAAAGATAACCACCATTATGCCAAACCTGGTGCACAGAACTTCCAAAAGTTATTATGTATTACAATTCCCCCTGACAATTAATCTGAAAGTTGTCATTCAACACAAACTGTTCTGAATTTTCTGTTTGCCTACTGTCTTTTTCTATCTCTTTATGTATTCATCTTTCCCCTCTTTTTCCTTCCTTCCTTCCTTCCTTTTCCTTCTAATCATCAATCTTTTCCCCTTTTTCCTTCCTTCCTTTCCTCTCTATCTATTCCTTCCTTCTATCCATCCTCCCTTCCTCTAAAATTCCAAGCAGCTCCTTCTTTCTATCCTGCCTTTCTTTTCTATTTTTCCTTCTTTTCAATAGAGTTTCAATCTGCCTTTTTATTTTATTTTTTAAAATAGAGTTCATTGGTTTCAGAACCTGGATTTATTTTCCCCCAGAATAATTGCATTTGTACATCATGATCATCATCATAATAAACAAAGGTCATTTTACCTGGATTTTCCCCCAGAATATTTGCATATATGCATCATAATCATTTACATGTAGCAAAATAAGATTAGGTTCCTTCCTCCTGACCTTTAGAAAGAAATTAAAAACTTGGCTGTGAGACCAAGCCTTTGGAGAGTAATTCAGTGCAATAAGTGGAATGAAATAAGTGCAACACGATTGGACTGGCTTCTGGACTATGATTTTGGATTTGTATGGTTTCATAATTGGTTTTAATGCATAGGTGTTATTTCTTAACTTTTATGGTTTTTAGTGAGTATGCTTATCGTTTTACATCTTTGTTTATACATCACTGAATTGTTGCCAATGTGTAAGCCGCTCTGAGTCCCCTTTGGGATGAGAGAGGGCAAGGTATAAATATAGTAAATGAATAAATAAGGAGCATCTTAAAGAGCCAGGTATGTTTAGCCTACAGGAGAGAAGGTTGAGACGAGAAATGATCACCATGTATAAATATGTGAAAGGATGTCATAAGGAAGAGGGAGAAGGCTTGTATTTTGCTGCCCTAGAAACTAGGACTTGGAGCAATGGATTCAAATTACAGGAAAGGAGATTCCATCTGAACATTAGAAAGAACTTCTTAACTGTAAGAGCTGTTCAACAGTGGAACTCTCTGCCTTGGAATGTGGTGGAAGCATTTTCCTTGGAAGCTTTTAAACAGAGACTAGATCGACATCTGTCCGGGTACTTTGTGCTTTTCATGCATGGCAGAGGGTTTGTCTCTTCCAACCCTATGATTCTATGATTCTATGAATGCTTTATTTCTGGCAAAGGCTTAGAGACAGTGGCATTACTAGAGAAACAGTGGTGAATTGCAGCAGGTAATACCATCAGAGGGGGTGGCACCAAAATGAGTATCTATGAAATTTTGGTGCAGCATTTCAACAGAAATGTATTATTTTTTCTTTTAAAATTCCATGGAATTTGATATAAAACCTCAAAAGCATTTTTCGTAAGCCCAGTTTACATGTACAGTTGGTTCTCCTTATCGACAGGTTCTACACATACAGATTCAACTGCCCATGGCTTAAAAACATTCAGATTTTTTTAAAAAAAAAAAAAAGAACCTTGATTCTGCCATTTTATATAATGGATATTGTTTTATTATGCCATTGTATATAATAAGACTTGCACAACCATGATTTTGATATCCATGGAGGGTCCTGGAACCAGACCTCAAGGGCCCCCAGTAGTGCATTAATACACCTACAAGGTAGCTAAAATTTTCTGCTAATTTTCTGCTAATTTAATTTTGACCCTTTTCGATCTGATTAGAGCTGTTATTACTCAATTATAGTGTCACTTCAAATGATGTGATTTCACCTCCAAGCATATGCTGCTGTTTTCGTTGATGCTGGGTTTGTTTTATATATAATTACTGATTTAGTCATATTTTCTGGTATTTTAGTTATAATATTGTGGATTGATCTGATAGGGGAGAAAGAGCATGAGATGGCACCAGAAGTTACTGCATTGAGTGAGACCATTCCTAGTGCTCAGAGAGCACTGCTTAGAGAGGCTGTGTGCATTCCCTGGCAAGAGTGTTGAAGCCTGGGACAACCTGCAATCAAATCACGGTGGAGAAGTGTCCCTAAGATGAGAACATTGCCTTTCCCTACAAGAGTGCCTAACAACTTCTTTCTTATTTTAGATGGAATAAAGAAGTGTATTTGGGACAAGTCTTTTGAGAGAGGGGCTACACCTGCCTTTGGCAAGAACATATGTACAATATATTATAACACATCCTTTACTGCATATAATTGTAACCAGTTCATGGATAAACCACATGGATTCTGCCTAACAGCACTTTTAGGCAGATACTACTCATAAAACCTTGTACAACTGCTCAATTTCCACCCTTTTCTGTGATGTGTGTATTTAAGACAGGAAAAACTGAACAACATCCATGGGTTACAGACAGTAACAAGTGGTGGCTTATATGTAAACGAATCTCTTCCAGATATCTGTTTCACCTTTAAAAGACCTACCCAAGGGGCTGAATTTATTTGAGAATAGAGTTCAGCACCTTGGAGAATATTGCATCAGTATTTCATCGAGGCATCTGAGGCAAACAATAATAAAAGAACTCTGCCTTACGCTTTCTACAAATATGATTGAACCTCCATCCACCATAGCAATATCATTACCAAATTCACAGATGATACAACCGTGATGGGGCTTATATCTGAAGGGGATGAGTCTGCTCATTGGGATGAAGGAGATCAGCTGCTCTCGTGTTGCAGAGACAATAATCTGGTTCTTAACACCAATAAGACAAAAGAGCTCATAGTGAACTATAGGAAGAACAGACCATAAATTCACTTGGTCATGAGTCGAGACGAAGTGGAGTTGGTAGCCAGTTTTAAGTTCCTGGGAGTCACTGTTAAGGAGAATCTGACCTTGGGCACTCATACGGCAGTGTTGGTAAAGAGGGCTCAGTACAGACTGTACTACCTGAGACTTCTAAGGAACCAACAACTGAATGAAAAACTACTGGTGACTTTCTACCGCTGTGAAATAGAGAGTGTCCTAACCTACTGCATCTGTGCATAGTTTGGTAACTGCACAGATAGGACAGTGCTCCAAAGGGTCACCACTTCAGCAACACAGAGAAACATTGGTTGCCCTCTGTATTTCTAAGGAGTAATGAATGTTGACTTAAACATATTTTAAGATATATTTCTTTTTAAAAGTATTCTAAGATTTATTTTGAATGTGTTTAAAATAGATTTTGAATGTCTTTGGCATGTTTTATTGACTAGATTAAATAACATTTGAAAATGACACTTGTATTTTACAAATATTCATGACTAAGGCTACAGTCTTACACTCATTTACCTGGGAGGAAGCACTGCTAAATTCAGTGGGCATTGTCTCTGAGTAGATACACATGCACGTTAAAAAATAATTTCCAAGTGGACATTAAACATTTATCAAGCAGGCTTAAGAAACCTCAGAGCATACTTGGGGATCCAGCTCACCTGGAAAATATATGTGTGTGTGTGTGTGTGTGTGTGTATGCATATGTGTGTGTGTGTGTATAATATTATTACCATCTGGCAGATGGTACAAGGTGACAAGGACAAACACACTGAGAGATAGCTTTTATTCTAGACCTGTGACTATGCTGAACTCCATGGTTTCGCCTGTGCGGTAGTGGTTGGGGTGTGGAGGGATGGGTGTGTTGTTTTGCGGTGTATGCTGGGGAAGGCATTTAATTTCATTGTGAAATAGTGCAATGCCAACAAAGCTATTCTATTCTTATTCCTATTCTATTCTAATGTGGCTTCACATCCACACTTGTGCATAAAGTACCTGCAAACTCACAGGATAAAGAATTGGTATGATCAGATATTAGAAAGGTTACTTTTTGGACTATATCTCCCTGAATTCCCTAGCCACTGGATATGGTATTTATGGAATTCTGGGAGTCATCATGTAAAAACTAACATTTTCAAGCTTTCAATACACTATTTAAAAATACAGTCTCAAAAAAGCTTTTTAGGTCTATATAGCAAATATTTGGAGCATGGGGTGAGTGGGTACACAGCCAAGTTTTATACCATATTACAAATAATTTCTAAAACTCCTCTCCATTTCAAAAAGTGGAAAGTTGCTTTTGATACTGGCAAGCCCAAAGTCCCCTTGTGAATATGGAACTGGTCATGCTGTTCTTTGGATCCCAGCCTACATTAGGACTTAAAAGAAGTGTGCTGTAAATGTTTTATTGCTTATAACTCAAATTTCAAACCACAGAAGAGATATAATTTAATACATGTAAGATGTTGGAAGTGGGGAAGATTATTGGTACACAGTTCATATAACTCTACAATTTAAAAATAAATTCTATGTCCTTTGACTGGAACACGGATGAAAATCCTTCAGAGCCCAAAAAGCTATGCACAAGCTTTTCTGGCTCCTCCAGAAGACAACAGTACTTTGTCAGGAGTGCCATTTTAGTGATGTTTTGTCACTTTCAGTTGTTTTTTAAACTATAAATATAGCTGTTTGTGGGTCAAGTCAACTTTATTTATACCCCATCCCATTTCCCTTGGGGACTTGGGGCGGCTTGGGTGTGGGGTTGAAAAGCTTGGAAATGTCTAGTTTGGTTCTAATGAGTGGAGTTTTATGTTGTTTTTTAGATGAAAAACCTAAGCTTTCAAGAGAACAGTTTTAACTCCTCCAAGAAGCAAGTAAGTAGATACAGGGAATTCATATCAGTGTGCCTACAGAACATATGCTGTAAATGAGGAAAGTGAGTGAGTAAGCTATGTGTTACTGAAGGGAATAAAATATCCTGGAACTCAGCACCCATTTAATCTTCTCAGCAGGTTAAACTAGGTAATATCATACAATTTTTTTTAAAAAAAGGGGCCCCTCAAGTGATCCAACATTTTTGTTTGCCATAACACCTACACGTTTCCAATTTAATGTACTTTCTTTTGTGATTAATCAGTGGAAAATAAACAAAGGCTTAATTTGAAAATCTGATTGCTGCTCAGGTACACATTTATGAAGAAATCCTGTTGTGTGCCACCCCTACTACTTTGCTATGAACTAATTCCCACTTTTCCATTTATGTCATCCTACATATATTTTGTGTAAATATGTCGGAAAGGAGGAGAGCTTCACATGGAACTTGAGCAGTGCTGGAATACTAGTATTACATGTGACACAATGATTGATTATTATGATCTTTATTTATACCTTGACTTTTCTCCAAAAATAGGAGCCAGAAATGCTTGCACATTAAAACAAACGTAGGCTGGTTAAAAATGCAAAAGGTCAACTTTAAATTAGAATTACACTATTAGCAATAAAACAGTTTAAGACACACAAAATGGCAAAAAAAGTTTAAAATATAGTTGGTTCTCCACATTAGTAGATTTAATTTTGGTTGATTTTAAAATTCATGGATTAGATTGATATGTTCTCTCTTGGAATCCATTGGAATCCAATTCAAGAGAGATATTGACAAGCTGGAATGTGTCCAGAGGAGGGTGACTAAAATGATCAAGGGTCTGGAGAACTAGCCCTATGAGGAGCGGCTTAAGGAGCTGGGCATGTTTAGCCTGAAGAAGAGAAGGCTGAGAGGAGATATGATAGCCATGTATAAATATGTGAGAGGAAGCCACAGGGAGGAGGGAGCAAGCTTGTTTTCTGCTTCCTTGCAGACTAGGACGCGGAACAATGGCTTCAAACTACAAGAGAGGAGATTCCATCTGAACACGAGGAAGTACTTCCTGACTGTGAGAGCCGTTCAGCAGTGGAACTCTCTGCCCCGGAGTGTGGTGGAGGCTCCTTCTTTGGAAGCTTTTAAACAGAGGCTGGATGGCCATCTGTCAGGGGTGATTTGAATGCAACATTCCTGCTTCTTGGCAGGGGGTTGGACTGGATGGCCCATGAGGTCTCTTCCAACTCTTTGATTCTATGATTCTATGATTCTAGGTCCTCCAGAGCGACTCTATTGTATTTCTTAATTATTGTATTTCTTAATTATTCGAAGTTTTTCTGCTTTTGTGGGGGTCCTGCCTGCCTAACAACAAACATGAAAGCCCTACTGTAACACGGTATGACATATGCTTAACTGCTCAAAAACAAATGGACAGTTTTCAAAAGCTTGTCACACTGAAGAAGTATTTGCCTATTGATTGAAGGACAGAAAGGAAGAGACATTCTAAGTCTCCTGAGGAAGGGAATTCCATACCTTGGGGCCAGTCGCTAAGAAGACCATATGGGGTAACTTCCCTAATTGTGCCTGAGAAATCAGTGAAAAGGGTGATTATTTAAGATGCCATGGGCCAAGCAGTTTTGTATGGGAGGCTATAGTCTTTCAGATTGTCTAAGCTAAATAGGTCTTTATAAATCAAAGCCAACCCTTTAAATTATGGCCAGAAGCAGACTGTCACCCAGTTAATAATCTGACTGCACTTTTCAAAGGCAGCCTCATGAAGAACATGTTATAGCAATCCAAAAAGGATTTTAGTCCAGTGCTCTGGTTAACTTGGGAAATGAGGATGGGGCTAACTGTTCCATTGTTATAGGCTTCAGACCATTTATTTGTACACTTCAGGGAATTCCCATTTCCAAACATAATTGACTGCCAGAGTGAACAGTAAATATATTGAATCATTTACACAATTTTCTAATAATATTTAAAATATATCTGCACCATGAAAGGTGGGATAAAAAGAAAATACCAATTATGAAACTAAGAACTGTATCACATAAAGCCAATGAATCACAATTACAACAGAATGATAGCATCTGTAGCCAGAACTTCTCATATAATGTCATATCTCTTCCATTGCTGCATTGCATTTAAATAGTTGGTGAACCACACCTTTTCATTGATGGGAAAAACCCAAGAAGACAGGAACCAGTGGCAACTGGTTGCTTCCATAACAGTAGTGCAATGGATCCAACCTTAGGTTTAGTGTGAACTTTAAGAAAACTGCTCAAGGTGTCGAAACTAGGGCTGGGCGGTTTTGTTTGTTAATTTCGTAATTCGTTATTAATTCGTTATTTTTTTTTTATAACGAAGCGATATTGAACCATTCAGGAGCAACTTAAAATCGAAACGAATTTTTAAAATTTATTTCGTAATTGTTTCGTAATTGTTTCATAATTGTTTCGAAATTGTTTCGATTATTATTTCGTTATTATTTCCGTATGTCTGGTGCAAGTTTTATAGTTGTTGTTTGTTTTATCAGTGATAAAAAATAAATTATCACACCAACAGTCAACAACAGAGGGAGAGGGAAGCTTCAGAAGTTCCCCCTGTCCCATTTGGAGGGTTTTTTAGCATATTGCGCAATCGCGTCCGCCATTAACGAATCGATTCGTTATTGTTTCGAAATTGTTTCGTAATTTCTGAAATTTCATAAATATCGAACTTTTTTAAAGAAAAATTTCGGAATTCTTTTAAAAAACGAAACGCAAAAACCCCCTAAAAACGAATCGAGTTTAGAAACAAATTTTTCCGTGGTTGGACAGCCCTAGTCGAAACTATAGAAGGGTGGGGTAGATGCTTAATGTTTACAATAAAATCTGGAGCAGAATCAGTGCATCGTTCTCTGCTACTAGGAGGTTCATTTGTGCATTGCTAAAAAAGAGGGCTCAGGCACTCACATCCCAACACTGCATGTCAGAAAAACATGAATTTGAGGATTGAAGACATAGAATGGAATATTAGAAGAATTTAGCAGGTTTTTACTCAGTCTTCAAACTAAAGTAACAAATGGAACCCATTAATGTTCACTTTAGTTTATTGCATTAACCTTGGTGGGGAATTTCTATGAATATGTTAAATTGGCATATGTTCTTTGTTAATATTAACATTATTAGAAATCACAGGACTGATTGAGAAAATGAAATAGAGGGCTTTGGTTTGACACTGTTGCTCACATGTGGCACCTTTTCTTGATGTTTCCCTAAAATGTGGTCCTTTAGGGGGGTTAGATTTTTTTCCTTCAATCTGATAATGACTGGCATCCTGTTAGATAGATGTGT